CTTTTTTTATTTTATTGTGTACTATTATTATTATATATGTAATTAATATTTGATTTTTTTGTATGCTGAAATCTCGTTCTAATGATAAAAGAAATGGTTAATACCCCATTTACACATACACGAAATCTAGTACTTATGAGATTTCGAGCCAAATCTAGTTGCTTTTAACTAGATTTCCCATACAAAACAAAATCTACTTCGTGGCTAGATTTCGTTAAAATCTACTTAAAATCTAATAGTTTTTGTGATGCAATTCTGTTTTTTCCTAAATAATACTAAAAAATACGACGCTTCACAAGAAAAACGAGAAAAACAAAAAAAAAAAAAACAAACAAAAAAATTAAATGTCAACAAAATTTTAATAAATTGAAAAACATGAATGAAAAGTTTATTTAAAATAGAAGGTAATGTTATTTTAAATATCTAATTTTTTATTATAAATAAAATGTTAATAAATATCCCAATTTTTCTTATTATTTTCCATATCAGACACAATTTCAAGAAATATAAAAAAAAATGAAATCTTCCTAAATGCCAAAAATGGTAAGTGTAAACGGTCTAGACTTTTAAAAAGATTTTAAATGAAATCTACTAGATTTCGTGTATGTGTAAATGGGGTATAACATAATTGGAAATATGTATATTAATTCTAATTATGTACTATGTATATAATGGTTGTGATCTATTTTTTATTTCTTTCTTGAAACCCCGATCGTTTTTCGATATGAAAAATGCATGAATTCATACTAATATGTATACCGATTCGAAAAATACAGAATACATACTCTGTGTCTCGTTTCTGCAGTGGTCGCTATTTCAACATCAGTCAAACATGTACATTGAAAAGATTTTTTCAATTTCAGAACATTCTGAAATTATAATTTAACTAAGTATGTACATATTTTAAAAAGTAATATAGACGATTTATCCAATCTTAACTAAAATTGTTTAAATATTTCAAATAAACGTTTACAATTTTTCACGTCTTGAAAAGTAATCTATATTACTTAAGCCATAATATTTAGTAAAACGACATGTCAAAATTTTCAAATAAAATTAAAAATAGTATTGTGTAGATACAAAATGTAATAAAACTTACTGAAAATACGGATGAAAAATTGAAAATCGTATGATTTTTTAAAATTTTTTGAAAAATTTCAAAACGATTGGATTTTATTTTATTTTATTTGAGTTTTATTTTTATTTAAACAAAGAAAACAATAAAAACAGAAACAAATTTCAAATAAAAACAGAAACAAAATGAAAATTTACGTTTTTTCCTTAAATTTTTTCAAATTGAACTTTCATTTTATTTCTAATCTGATAGTGTAAAAAAAAACAAAATATATTTTTATTTGATTTTTTTGATAACCATACCAATTTTCATAATTTACATACATACATACATATGTATGTTTTATATGTATTAAATATGCAGTAAAACAATTTTCTAAATTAATCATTTATTTAACTTTATTCTTCGTATTTTACATTATTTGCAATTTGATAAAATATAAAATGTTTAAACGTGAATAAAAAATTGTTTTTGTTTTTTAATCCTGTTTTGTAAGTTAAACTAAGCTTTAGGGTTCTATAGTTGAAACGAAAAGTCGACTTTTCGACTTTTTGCATTTAGTTAAAAGTCGACTTTTCGACCTTTTTCCATTTTATGAAAAGTCGATTTTTCGACTTTTCGACCTTTTTCATTTATTTAAAAGTCGACTTTTAGACTTTTCGACTTTTAGTATTTTATAAATGGTCGACTTTTCGACTTTTCGACTTTTTCCGACTTTTCGACTTTTTCCGACCTTTTTCGACTTTTCGACTTTTTCCGACTTTTTTCGACTTTTTCCGACTTTTTTCGACTTTTCGACTTTTTCGACTTTTCGACTTTTTTCGACTTTTCGACTTTTTTCGACTTTTTCCGACTTTTTTCAACTTTTCGACTTTTTCCGACTTTTCGACTTTTCGATTTTTTACGACTTTTTGACTATTTTCGACTTATTTCGACTTTTTTCGACTATTTTTTACTTTTTTCGACTATTTTAGAGTTTTTGACCTCTTTTCCACTTTTTTTAAATTTTCGACTATTTTCGACTTTTTCCGACTTTTCGACTTTTTCCGACTTTTTTCGACTTTTCGACTTTTTTCGACTTTCTTCGACTTTTTTCGACTTTCCGACTTTTCGACTTTTCGACTTTTTTCGACTTTTCGACTTTTTACGACTTTTCGACTTTTTTCGACTTTATTCGACTTTTTTCGACTTATCGACTTTTTTCGACTTTCAGACTTTTCGACTTTTTTCGACTTTTATTCACAAAGTCGACTTTTCGACTTTTTTCACAGACGATAGTCGAGTTATCGACTTTTTTGGAACAAAATAGTCGACTTCGACTTTTCGACTTTTTTCGACAAAAAGTCGATTGTTCGATTATTCGAAAGTCGATTTATAGAACCCTACTAAGCTTTGTAAAGAAAAGGCATCTGGTCAACTCATTAGTAATTATACATAATGTGGCAATACTATTACAAATGTAAGAAACTGTTTTACCGACCTTAATAGCATTAAAATCATGTTGCCAGAGTTACTGTAATTTTTCAAATTTCTGAAGATCTTAGTACACATAGTGTTTTTTTTTCATATTCAAATTTTTTCTTATAAAATTGCTAATAATATTCTGAATTCATCCATTTTTCTTTTGAAAAATTCTTGTGATTGAGCCGCTGACAATAGTAAACTGATTTTATTCTGAATGAACCTGTATGACACAAAATTGACATTTTTAAATAAAACAAAGAAAACTACTCCATTAGTTAGTTTCTATGTTCAAAATTATTTAAAAAGGCTCTATACATTTTAGTTTAAATACATAAATTTTTATGTATATAATATGCTGTTTACACCAAATCAAAAACACATTGGGTTTTCAAAAACAATATTTTAAAAACCAATGTGTTTATACCAAGAGTTTTCGATTTGGTTAAGATAACCTAAATGTAATTAACTGAATTTTTATGGGAAAATAAACTGAAACTGAAAACAGTTTTCGATTTGGTTTGCCTTAATCCTTAACTTAATTTCTACTTTTTTGCACTTTTAGCCACTTCAGTATTGTTTTTTAACTATAATATTACTAGAGCCCTGCATGAGTGACTTAAATAATAAATTAAAACATTTGATTTTTTTTCAAACACTGTGTTTGACTCACTCATTGTTTTATGAATGAAATGAATAGTATATTTGAAAATAAGGAATGTTAGTCAATACTCAATTCAAACGAAACAAGTAATGAGAGTGTTTGTGTGATTCAATTCAAGTAGTATACAGTGAGTGAATCGAGTGAAAGCAAAACAATTTTTAAGTTCGACAAATTAACAGATTTTTTGAATATTACTTCGAATTTTCGAACTTAATTTCGAATAGTCGAAGATAATATAGTAGCGTCATCAACTGTACTTAACACTGCCAAATTTCAGCCAATTTGGTCCACGGAAACTGGTTTTATCAGCTTTAAATTTTTTTCGAACATGAGTTCGAATTTTCGAAAATTTTTTTTTTAGTTTTTTGGACTCAAAGAATAATTTAAAAGCATAAAAAATTTTTCGAACATAACTTCGAATTTTCGAACTTAATTTCGAATATTCGAACATAATATTATCTTGTCATCAATTGTACTCAAGACTACCAAATTTCAGCGAATTCGGGCCACAGGAACTAGTTTTAACAGCTTTCAAAATTTTCACCATTTATTCAAGAAAAAGTTTGAATCGATTCATTCGATTCAAACAATCTATTTTGTATTGTTTTAACATAAACAAATTGTTTACTCGCTCGATTTGAATGTAGTTGCACATTCACTTGATAGTACTCACAACGTTTGAGTATAACAAAACTTTGTAAATACTATTCTAAACAAACAATGAGTTGAGTGCAAAGCAATGAGTCACTCATTGTGTGTAGCAAATAGAGTTACTCATGCAGGGCTCTAAATATTACACAATAAATAGTTTAATTAATAAGACTTGTTGTATATTCGAAATTTGTTTATATATTATTTTTTTCAATTTGACATTTTCTTTTGTTTTACTGAAAATCCAGAGTTGGAAGTTCTGTTTTTAGATATTTTTATTGGTTTTTGTTCTGGTTTTCATCAAAAACTAGTTAAAACAGGATGCACTAAATAAGGTGAAATCGTTAAGGCAGCTGATTTTTATTTGTTTATTTAAAAAGTGCTTGGGTTGTGTCAAAATGAATTAATTTATTTTTATTCTAAAAAAATTATATTTGTGTTTTCAAAGTAAAAAAATTTAAAATTTGAAATTATGAATTAAAATGTTCATGGAAAGTTTTCAAATAAGAAAACTCAGATGAAGAAGCATTAAAACATTGTCCTGCTGCAGATACAAGCTAAATGTAACGACGGTTTTATAGGGAATATTGTGAAATACACAAAAACTATTTCTTTCGAATGTTTATTATTTTTCAATTTTAGAAATTTCATTTTGACAAAACCCAACTCTAGACAACAAAAAAATATTGTGTTTGTTGTGTTTGTTGCCGAAACGCTCTCACCTTACTTATGACATCATGAGTAGAAAGTAGTTTTTAATTTGTATGGAAAAACAAATGAAATTTTAGTAGTTTTTGAATTGAAAACCACATCAATCCAAAAACTACTAGTTTTTCGTTGGTGTAAATGGCATATAAAAGATAAATTGAAATAATTATGCAAAAATTTATCATAAATTATCAAGTGAGCAGCATTTGGAAAAATTAGCAGTTACATTTTAGACATGATAATGCTATTTTAAATTATTAGTTAGTAGTTTAGCTGTAACGGTAATATCATTTTGAAATAATTTACATATTAAAATTTCTTTACGATTCTAAAATTATTTTAGCGATTTTGTACTTTATTCATCTGGTAACTATTAATAAGTACATTTTTTCCAACTCTGTCTACAAAATAGTAGTAAAAATTGCAGAAAGAATTTTTGTTGTGTGAACGTTGTTGTTGTGTATATATTAAAATAAACAAAATGAAATAATAAAGTTTAAATCGGCTTTAGTTAATTAATATTAGTTTATAACAAATATATCCACAGATAATTTAATAAGCAAAAGCAAACATTTATAGTTTATTATACAATCAGCAAGTAAAATAGCTTTTTTGGTAACTTAAAAAACAGCAACAGTTAAAGAAAAAGAATAATAACAAGTCAGTGAACGAGTCAAAAACTTGCTGGTTGGTTGTTGGCCGTCTGTCTGTCTTTTTATCTGGTCTTCGTTGTCGTAGCTGATTAGATTTTCTTCTTCGAGAGCAAGTTTGTGGCTTTTAATGTTGAATTGTTGTTTTTGTTTATTTTTAGTGACGTTTTAATTTTTTCATTGATAATGAAGATGGCTAAAATGAAAAAGAAGTTTACAGAATCATAGCTCAGTTTAAGACGAGCTATTAAAACGCCAGAGAGTGTTAAAAAAGACACGCGGACGAAATACAAAAAAAAGTTAAATTTTATTTAGAAATTAAAACTGGATTTTTTATTTGTAATAAAATAAAAACACTTTTTTGGAGTGAGAAAGTGTGATTTGGGAGTGTGTGACTCCATTTCTCGAACTTTGAAAAATTGTGCCATTAATTATCGTTTATTAACAAACGACTTGTTAAGAAGTGGAAAATATAAAAGAAAAACGAAAGTGGTCTTTTTAACACTTTTTTTTTACAACCAAATAAGAAGACAACAAATTTACATACAATTCAACTTCATCATCCATAACACTGCCAGAGGAGTAAAGTGTACATATAAATGACTACTGATTACGGAATTATTGTTTGCAATTTATGTGTATGAATGTTTTGTTGGCAAAGCTAATGATTTTATTCAAACTAAAAGAATATTAAATAACGAAGAAGTGAATGAAGATAAATACTTTAAAAACTTCCAAAAATGCTGCCTCGTTTTCGTTCCTTTTATGGTAAAATTATTACCTTTACACTGGTGGCCTTAGTATTCATTGTTTACATAAAAGTATTACAAATTGATGAGGATTCCCCACTAACCTCTTCATTTGAGAAAGCTGCCTTAAAACAAAATCCTTTTAGTCATATCGATAATGAGCACGATGAAGCTGATAGCCACGAGAATGTTAATGAAAATGAAATTCCACGACCAGTGGCTGCATTGCATAAACCACCAGCCATTGATTATAGTTCGCCCTACGAGTTGAGTATACAGCGCGATTTGGCCAAACAGGAACCCGGTTTGGGTGATATGGGAGATGCTGCTTATTTGGAGGGTTCTGCCAAAAAACGCGGTGAGGAAATCTACAAGAAAATCGCTCTCAATGAAGAGTTGAGTGAACATTTATCGTATAATCGTACTCTGGACGATTTTCGCCATCCTTTGTGTGCCAAGCAACATTTTGATGTAGACACTCTGCCGACAACAAGTGTCATTATTATTTTCTTCAATGAACCCTATTCGGTGCTGTTGCGCACCGTTCATAGTACATTGAATACATGTGTGGGTCGTTTGTTGAAGCAAATCATTTTGGTAGATGATGGTAGCACCAACGAGGAGCTGGGAGAGAAATTAGACTATTATATACGTACACGTATACCATCGGGCAAGGTGTCAGTTGTACGTTTAAAGAATCGGTGAGTGTAGTTTAATATATATTAAAAATAAATAAAAATGGTCTGCAATGACCAGTTTTGGGAAACTTTTTCATTAAAATAATTGTCCGATTTCAACATTTTCTTTGAGCAATAAAAATAATTCGTCAATTTGCTTTGTGTTTATTCAAGAAATAGTTAAAAGACATAAAACATTCAATTCCATTTTTCTAGAATTTGTATTTTTTGATTTAAGGCGGCCTCCAAGTAAACAAGCAATATGAAGATAGCTTCTAATTTTAGTGTCTGCAACTGTACATATTTTATTTCAGTTTTTAATCAAAAACACATTAATAATTTAAAAAAATAAACAATAACAAACTTTTTTTTAACTGCCACTAAAAATTATAACATTTACCTTGCATCTGCCACCACAATAATAAATTTTCTACACCCGTTAGATTTTTAAGTAGCTTTTAAAAGATTTACATGTTTATAATGGCCAAAAATAAACCTTTATTATTTACACCTCAAATTTGTGGTTTTTCAAAGTGCTACTTTTATAACAACAACAAAAAAACTTGAAATATGTTTGTGACCTTGTTTCTTACGATTTGCATAAATAGAAGAATTGTAGCAGCCTAAACACTTTGAAATTTTTATTTAAATATTCATTTCAAAATTATTTTTAACGAATTTGTGTGCGTTTTTTATGGTTTTGTTCATTTATTTGTCAAGTAGACAAGACTTGTTTTACTTTATATATGTTTTTAAGTTTTATTTAAAGATGCTTTTGTTTTTTTTTTTCGTCTAAATATCAAAGTTAATTCAAAAGGTATTAGATTTAAAGACTTTTTAATACATATAATTGTCGATTGTTCAACAATATAAGATTAAAAGTAGAAAGTAAAATATTTTTTAATTGTTATACATTTTGTAAAATCTAAGATCTAAGTTTAATTTTAGTCTTTCTGATTTAGTACAGATTTGTCTTTAATGCAACATTCGTTTTATGTTATTTTAAAAAGTTTTTGTTTAAATTTTACATTTATACTTCTTAACTTTTAATTATGTGTTTTTGTAAATACACATTCTTTAAAAATGTTTTTTTTTTCTCTAAATATTGTAATTTATACAACCTACTTTTAATTAACAAATTTTAAATATGTTGTAAAACATGTTTAGTTTACAAACCTCCATAGTTTTAGAACTATACTGTTTTTTGTTTGTATTAATTATAGAAATAACTTATTTTTGTCATAAAGTCAGCTCTCCACAAGAAATGAGACTAGCTCTGCAAAATAGATTTACATACTTTATTAGTTGTTTAGAAAAGCTCAACTGAAAAATCTAAATTTTTATTTGATAACGAAGTCCAAATGAAAAATCTTTATTATGGAGACGCTCTTTCGAACTTTAAATAGAACAATTTTCTAGTGGGCTTATCTGAATTTATCAATTGCAATTGAGCTTTTCTAAGTAGGAAGATCTCAATTAAAACGAATTAAAAAAATAAACAAAAGTGTTCATTTTCAATTAAAAATAGTTATAGTATAAAAAATTACCTGAAACATTTTCAACAAAACAGATATCAGGATCTTGTACTGGAAATCATTATATAGTTCTATGAAACGGTTCTGGGAGCATTTCATTTATGAATGATTATAACCACTTTAGTGGTTAGGGTATATTGGGTTTGTCCTGATATTTGTAACGCAAAATAATATTGGTCCTATACCCACTTTAAAGTTGTACCATTTTTTGTCGAGATACAAGTATATAAAACATAATTATCAGCTCAAAAGCTCTATTCGGGAGGTTCAGTTGTTCGGGGGCTAGGTGAAATAATGAACCGATCTTAAAGGCTTTGTTCCCGGGATAATATATTATCATGTACCAAATTTTATTGAATTATGTTCAAAATTGCGATCTGTAGTTTGATCACAAGGTTTACATGGACCGACGGACTAAGCTAAATCTACTCAAGAAATGATTTTAAGCCGATTGCAGACTGAAATGACTTAAAATCATTTCTTGAGTCGACTAAACAGTTCCTTCTGGGATGTCAACAGAGGAGTCATCCCAACATTAATATCACACAGTTGGATGCTCCCCCGAGGCATGTCAGGAAGGACCTTCGTGTATACGAAGAGAGCATACAAAGTTATGTTCAGGATCCCTTAGATCGGAACTCGTATACAGCAGCTTTGAATGACATTCATAGAGACGCCATCAATACCGCGGTTCCAGGTTACCGCATGAATGTCGTTCTTTGAGGTCGCCCAACGCCCATAGCAGAAATAGAGAAGAACCTGCCTCGGAAAACAAGAGTTGCTCTGGCGTAACTGAGATCGGGATGGAGCAACAGGCTCAACGCCTACTGGTCCCGCATAGACCGTGCCGTCCCCAATATATGCCCAGCTTGTGGACAGGGTCCCCATGATACCCACCACATATTCAACTGTCCAGCCCAACCTACTTCACTTAGTCCAATGGATTTATGGACTAACCCCATTGAAGTAGCCCAATTTCTTAGCTTGGACCTAAATACAGAACACCGGATTAAAAATTGTATAGTTTAAGCTGTTACAACAACAACAAAGAGTCAATGCATCCGAAAATAACAGATAGTGAAGACAGTCGTTATTTTGTGTCCCTTGTGTAGGCTAGCGAAAAGGTTCATTATTATTTATAGACTCCTTTGGATTTCTGACTATTTCTACGAAATGACTGAAATGATTGATTTCACTAGCCCTAAGTGGTAGTAGGTTGAGTGGTAGGCTAATTCCAAACAGCCCTCCTGAAGTTATGGGAGGGCTGTTTGGAATTACAGAGAACGAGTTCTAGAAGTAATGGCGACATCACTAAGTCCATATATGCTATTCAGGAATCTAAAATGGTTACGTTTGCTCTCATTCTGGAACTTATTTTAACGAATTCTAAAAATTTTCATAGGAATTCAAGATACTTTGTTAATAACTTCAATCGTTTTATGAACAAAAAAAATAAAACAAATTACATACATATATTACAACATTATAAATTTCGGCTCTGAACAAAGTGAACAATTTGCTTTGTTACAATGAATGACTTTTGTAATATTAAAAGTAAATGTACATACGTACGTACATATAATATTATGTATTTGAAAATCAATAGTACCTATTACAAAACAAATATCAATTACAAATTAATTATGTACATTGTATGTGTTTAAGTGCATGTGTTGTCTGTTTAAGTTGTTTATAGGTATTGGCCTTCTTTATTTCTCAATTTCCAATTAGACAAGAAATCTAACAAGTTTTAAACATTGATGAACAAACAAAAATATAAAATAAATCGTATATTTTTATTTAATTCGAAATGTTGTGATCAGTTTAAGAATTATGATGCGTGGTTAAAAGTATGCACAGCTGAAAATATAAAAAAAAAACAAAATACTACGTCTACACATATAGGTAAATAAAACCAAATACAAGTCAAATACTACCACTGTTCCCTTTGCTACAAATGCTCTTACATCCGTGTCTATATAGATTTTTTATGAGTTTTTCAACCTTTTCATTTATAAAGTTTTTGATTTTATTTTTTCTTTTGTGTTTTTTTTTTGCTTTTTCATTTTGTATCTCTTTCATTGTTTACTTTTGTGTGTCTGTTGTTTTTATTAATAAATATTTAATTTTTGTGTGTTTTCAGGTTGGGCTTGATACGAGCTCGTTTGGCAGGTGCACGTGTAGCTACCGGTGATGTCTTAATATTTTTAGATGCTCATTGTGAGGCAAACATTGGCTGGTGTGAACCGCTGCTGCAACGCATTAAGGAATCTCGTACTAGTGTTTTAGTACCTATTATTGATGTAATTGATGCTCAGGATTTTAAATACAATACAAATGGCTATAAATCATTTCAAGTGGGTGGTTTTCAATGGTCTGGCCACTTTGATTGGATCACTGTCTCGAATCGTGAGCGTAAAAGGCAACAACGTGAATGTAAAGAAAATGATTTAGATGTTTGTCCCACCTACAGTCCAACGATGGCTGGTGGTCTATTTGCCATAGATCGTAGTTATTTCTGGGAAATCGGTAGTTATGATGAACAGGTGAGAATATTTAGTTTTATTTACAGAAATCATATCTTAATAATTTATTTTAATTTCAGATGGATGGCTGGGGTGGTGAAAATTTAGAAATGTCCTTTAGAATTTGGCAGTGTGGTGGTACCATTGAAACTATACCCTGTTCTAGAGTTGGTCATATATTCAGAGATTTCCATCCTTATAAGTAAGTAAAAGATGACAGTATTTATGAACACAACAACAAAATTGGTATATTTATAAAAAAATTTGGTTGAATTTATATAAATTTGTCTTTTAAACAATAGAGATATAAATAGTTTGTTAAGGAAATACATTTTTAGATAAATTTTATAAATAAATTTAGTATCAATGTTAAACGCTATCTATTCAATTTAGTAGTGATAACAAAAGACACACTTTCATTTCATATATTTTTATTGCCTTATTGCCTTATTGAATTAGAATGAATTTATGATTTTTGGACAGTTTTGTTATATTAAAAGGTTTAACATAATTTTATTCAAACAACAAAGTTTATAATAAATTAATACATTAATAATTAATGTTGTCTTATATATTAACCTATATAGTTATACATACATATATAGTTTTATTTCAATATCAATTGTCTTAAAATGAATTAAAACTGATACTTTATAATCGATCAACATTGAAACCATTTCCTAATCTCTTATAAATCTAGTTAATGTTTTCTTTATCAAAATAGCTTATAATGTATATAAAACGTCCTTTTTTATCACATTGAAATACATAATAATGAATTCTATTTTAATTAAACATTTCATTTATTACAGGTTCCCTAACAATCGTGATACCCATGGCATTAATACTGCTCGCATGGCTTTAGTTTGGATGGATGATTATATTAATATCTTCTTTTTAAATCGTCCCGATCTAAAATTCCATCCTGATATTGGTGATGTTACCCACCGAGTTATGTTACGCAAGAAACTGCGCTGTAAAAGCTTTGATTGGTATTTGGAAAATATCTATCCGGAGAAATTTGTACCCACCAAAGATGTTAAAGCTTATGGAAAGTAAGTAAAAAATTTAAAAAATTTAATATAATTAGGGAAATCAGTCTTCATAGTTTGTTTATTAGAATGGAAAAAGCTTCAACTTTACTTGGAGACCACTGCGGTCCATTGTGCTTAATAGGAGGGTTGAAACTTGACTGAGACTAAAGTGATTGTATTCAGGTCCCGATAGAATAGGTGATCAGAATTTTCACTATTGTCTCCAGTCGTAAAACAGCTAATTCCTTTGATAACACCTAGAAAATTGCAAGAGTTGCTCCCTTCAATATCTTCCAGTTCGTCGTGAAACCTGTTTTTTAGTCATTTTAGCCTGAGGCGCTGTCCTCTCGCATAACTGTATGATACTATTCCAATTATCTAAAGAAGCCTAAAAGAACAATGCCTCTTTAAAATCCCTTTCTGAGTCCTTACACAACATCTATCTAGTATAACAAGTATCTTGGTGGCTTTCGCATTAAATCATAGCCATAAGGTCTTTGATATTTTGCAAATCAATGTTACCAAGCCTGGCCTGATGGTTTTACCCTCCTGTACCTTTTATTTAGTTCAATATTCGAAGCTTGTCTTGTTACTTCGTTCCCTATATAATTGTATCAACAATGTGGAAGTATTGGTAAATACACTCCTCGAAAAGCCAATTACTCCTTGTTGGAAACTCTATTATAGTTTCCAATAAGTCTTAATTCTATGAACGAAATTCCACAAGGAAAGGAAACCTGATCAAGTAGACCTACTTGGTACAAAATTTTTGTGTGATTATCTCGTAAAGATTTGACTAACGGAGACTCTTAGGTTTTTGACGTACTCGCTACATTATGAGTAAACTTAGAACTCAATTCTTCTGAACGATGAGAGATTCATCAGTTTAATCCGATTCCAATGTGGATTTATATTGCTCATTTTCATTACTAAACAAATTGCATCAACTGAAATTTCAGCCCATAGCTAGATCATCTTAAAACGAAAAACATCCTCTTTTTAAAATTTCCTTAAATTATTACATTTTTCATCCTCGTCTCTCATTTCAGAGTACGTTCACTTAATTCCAATTTATGCCTGGACGATTTACAACAGAACAATGAGAAACCTTATAATTTGGGAGTTTATTCGTGCAGTAAGGAAATTGCCAAAACACAATTCTTCTCCTTTACAAACAACAACGTACTACGCAACGAATTAAGCTGTGCCAATGTACAGCACAGTGATTCACCGCCATATCTAATTGTAATGACGACTTGTTTTGAAAATGATGATCTAAATGAAAAATGGCAATACTCAAATAATCGCTTAAGACATTTAAATACCGGCATGTGTCTCGATCATCGGGGATTGCATCAAGGTGATTATGTACAAGTTGCTATCTGTGATCCTTATAGTAAAACGCAAAGTTGGATAATTGATCATCGTGATGAGAATATATTGCCGCAATTATAAAACTGATTTTACTCTGCAGGAACAAAAGAACTTTTGTCAATTCTATGAAAACGAAAAAAAAACAAAACAAAACTAATATATTGTATATAATGAAATATTTTTTATCCTTAGCTTACATTATTCCTAACCCCCGTATTGTTTGTATAAGAAGGTAAATTGTTTTAGTCATTATACGTATAAAAATGTAAATTTTAATTAATTAATTTTACAACATCACTAAGCTAATTATTACCGTATTAAACTGAAAACAAATTAAATACTTAATTACTCCTTCCAAAAGAGAGTATAGACAAATTATATATTTGAACTGAACATTTTATTTTTCTCTTAAACAAATTAGAAATACAATTTTGAGATTAATTACATTTTGTAACTATTTATATTATCAACTTAATGAAAATATGTAGATTGGCTTCTAATACAAAAACTCTACTATTATAAAGCAAACAATTTTGTGTAACGAAGGACTCAAAAATAAGTTTAAACTTAAGAAATAAATTTCATTTACACTGAAAACGGTTGATATTATATTTTATCTAACATTTGTACTCGAAAATATCAAAAGAATTCCTACTTTACAAAATAAATAAAATATTTTGTAAATATAAAAAAATAACTATTGCAATATTTAATTCTTGATATCAAAAACGCTTTAAAAGCATTCCATAAACACACACTACTAAAAATGATAAGTTAAAAAAATAAAATTGAAACAATATCAAAATTTATATAAAACTGAAAAATGCAAAACATAAAAAAAGCTTCCTATAGTTAATATACACATACATACATATAGTTATAAACAATTTACATTGCAAAATACAAGGTCATATTAATTAAAATAAAAACAAAACTATAAATATAAAAATATTTTTTATATTCTTGGTTGTACAAACACAAAATTTATATAATAAATAAATTATTAAATAAAAGAAAATAAATATATTTTAATAATATGCTTTAAAATGTATACAAAGTATAAAGAAAAAAACATTGCACCAATATTTAATAAAAAACAAATAATACAAAAACAAAAATCCCACACACGTACATATTCAAATGTTAACTGCGTGCCATGAAAATTAATGTTTTAAGATTTGTGAAATGAAAACTTTCTTTAAAACTTATTAGAGTCTTCGAACCAAGATGTTGGAGTGAATCCAGCTAATCTTTTATGGTTTCTAACGAATTGTTAGAATTTAAACTTCTATTGCACTTCTAATTCCTTTCATATAAACCTTGTCATCAAACTATAGGCCCTAATTTTAAAGATAATTCGATAAAAGTTGTTACACGTATTACTTTATGCCAATACGAACCCTATTCTTGGCCTTTTGGCCAACTGCAGGTTGATGATGCCAACGACCCATCACTCTTTTGAGTGTCAGCCGGGTTGATGACAGCATCCACAAGTTGTCCCCAGGGAATGCACCAACCCAAAACGTCACCAACTGGGTCGTATATTCTCTAGAATTTAGCGACGGTTTGTCGGTGCTTTCTAAGTAGGATCCTCTGCCTTGACGAGAACTTTGAGGAATCAGCTTTTTCCATCTTCGACAGAAAGGCGAGAGACCTCAAAGTCCCGTTCCTTCTCCTCCTTCGTTCGGCCTGTATTATTAATATATCGTGGAGGGGCGCTTGGCTTTTCCTCCACGGCTACATGCCGAACGACCTGTGGACGGTTCTCTCCCAAATGTCCCCTTTGGATTCCCTTGACCTCATCAGCAGGGAATCAGTCTGACGTTAGCAAGATCATCGTCAGACAGAGATAAATTCCCCAACTTCTGTGTGGCAATAGTTTCACCAAAGGAGTCACTTGACACCTCCAGAAGACCCTCCACGTTGAAGACAGTCAGTACCTGACCTTCATGCTCAACAATTCTGGCATGGAAGTCAGTAAGGGTAACGTCACCGTCCTCCCAAGTACTGTCAGACTCCCCATCCCACGAGTATACACGTTTAGACGGACGATTCACACAGTTACGGCGTATGTGGACTAAACAACTAACTAACAACCGCGCTTTGACATGACGCTGAGGGGAGCTGTTAGCGACTAGCCTCTTTATACACTGGCTAGCCATCCAGGCCCTCGGACCTGCTACCACGCATCTTGACTTTAAAAGTGCCTATATAACGCTGTGCCTATCGATAAAGCCCATACTGCACAAATAGAGAGCCAGATTAGATAGCGTATCATATATGTCAAGATAGAAGGAAGTAGGATTGTAAGCCACATACCACACTCACTCTCTTGACAAGATGAGTAACCTTTAGTTATACACTTCTTTAAAACCATAACTTTCCATGACTAAATACCGAAGCATTAATCACAGTAAGCTATAGTCACGATGTGTACTTAAGCCCTCACATCATGACAAGATAGTTACCCTAGGCGAAGGCATCCTCGTTAGAATGCAGCTTGTTTCGTTTCTTCATCTTGCCTGAGAGATTTTTTACAACATGTTGTTTATGCATTTTTTGCATACTCATAACGGAATGCCACAGAGATGGCGTTTGTAAACACATTTTAGCATGCTCGTTATCTCCGTTTGAATTGATACGGAAAGTAATCCTTACCCAAATTCTGGTCGGTCATCTTGTTTAGAGCCGATCGTGCGCACTGATAGCCTACGTGGATAATTACCTTCCTCCAGACCCACATTTTCCGAAGTTTCTCTGCAGGAAGGGTTTCGTAAGAAAAAGAAGCAATTCCATTTCATTTCAATGCTTTACGATTGTGTTTATTTTGGCGGAGCGTCAAATCGAAATGCAAACTGAGAAAATTTCGATTCGAAATTCATAGGTTAAGAATGGTTATATACCAAAGAGGTGTGAATCCTCCAAAGAAAGAACCAAGAATAGATAATAATAAGGAAAATCAGAAAAATAATCAAAGAAACCGCTAATTTCCGTGATAAAACATTAATGGCCGATATTGAAGGGTGAAACCCTTTTCGTCGAGGATAATATTTTCTAGCCATTTCAGCCTGAGACCTTGTATTCTAGGACAGTGTCAGATGATGTGCTCAACTGTCTCTAGTTCCTCAACATTATCGCATAACCTGCAAAAATCTGGGCATTTTCGGGCAATGACATGGCTTTCTACATTTCTACATTATACGGACTATCGATGATGTTGGACTATCGACATAAGTTGTTACGGCAGACCTGAGATCACTGTGATGCCGTATCAATTCCATCGCTTTCTAGATCGCTAAGATCTCCGCTTGGCAGACATTACATTCGTCCGTCGTTAGTAAATACTGCACATCCTTCGGACAGTTTATTGGATCCAAGCAAATCGTCATTTGTTTGCAATTTCATTATTGGCGTAAATCCCAATTCTATAGTGGTAATTCTAGATATAATTCCTAAATATATTGTGTGTGACTGTCTTCGAAAGATCTGACTAATGAAGACTTATCGCCATACTTGCTTTTTTACTAGCACACCACAGAAAAACTGTTACATCAACATTACCAAAGTTGAGCAAGAGTTGAACATTAAGAAATTAATAATTTTGTTGTCAGACATAAGGCTATTAGGGCCATATGATCTGAGAGCGTATTAAACTGTAAAAGAGCTGTAACCGAATACTCTCCATCAGATGGGTATCTGTATACTTGGCAATGGTAGAGCGTATGTACTTGCTATAAAGGGAAGGAAACTTGAAAAAATTAACCTGACGAATGTAAAACGAGGAAATAACGGAGCGGTGAGTAGCATCACTTAAAACTTAAGGGGGGTAACTCCCAGCGGGCACAACTACACAAAATTGTTCGAATTAAGGCGAATGCAAAGTATGCATTCGAGTACACAGAAACGCTGGAAAACTGTATCTGTCATTGCCAGGCTTTCATCGTAATTAGATCCTAACCTTACCTAATAAGTTGTAATGGATATTATCCATAATTGTTCTAATTAACCCAAGTAAATGTAGTGTCTGTATTGTGCAATCGATGACTATCTTTTTTCAACATCATTTTCGTATCCGAAACCAGATTATGTAGTGTGAGTTGAAAAGTTTACCTCAGATTTCTTAATTAAAATCGAATCGAATTATGGAAGTTTTAATAAAGTGTTGATGGATTACTCATAACTTGATCATAATTATTTCAAATTTGTTCTTTTCAACTTTCACTCCTTATTAAATAAGACTCCAAATGTCTTGTACTAACAATAACGTTATTATATTCTTAGAAAAGCTTACACGCTTTGATTAATTCGTTATATTAAAAAAAACTGACCGAAAAGTTGAATTTTTTGTATATAAAATTTTATATAAGAGACAAGTTTAGAAAGTTATTTTTTTTCGTCGAATTCCAGTATTAAGGAAAAATGTAGTTTCATATACATATCTATAAAATATTGAATTTCTAAAACATTCAAATTCCCTATACCGTTAATAAAAAATAGTGTGCGATTAAAAAATAACTTAAACATTTTGCGTAAAATTTCTAAAAGCACCTTCAATCTTTGTGGTAAATATTTATTTCATTGAAATGTAAATAAAATTATTTAATATACACTGTATACATACTTACTATAATAAATATAACAAAATATTGTACTAAATTTCATAAAAAAATTATGTATACAAAAACAAAATAAATTATATTTGGCTAATTAAAAGAAATAGTTTTAATTATTTTATTATAACTTTGTTGAACAAAGATATTTTCATAAAATGAATAAAAACTATTATGTAAATACATACTTATAACATCATTCAACAGTCATTTTCACACATTAAACTATGTGTACAGGAAACTGTGTACCATTAGTACTAACTCTGTGTAATCAGTTTTTCATAATCAGTTCTTATGTCCTTGTAAAGGACCTTAAAGATCCTATGTGGTGACCCTGATGAGAGCAAGATGACAAAAAAATGAAAAAATTGCTCAAAATGAGCAAGTCTGAGGTTAGTATGATGGTACGTATTCTGAGTGGACACACAGGATTACGAGCACATCTATACAAAATTGGACGTGCGGATTTAAATGCATATCAATTTTTCTATATGTCAAAGTTTTTTTTTTTCTAAAGGTTAATAATTTTAATAAAGCGATGTCAAAGTGGTGATTTCGACTTGCGACTAATCTTTTTGTAATGCAGTTTACTTTTCCAGTTTCCCAGTTCCTTTAAAAGAAGATACTAATAGCTTAGTAATTATTTTGTGTTAATTATTTTGTGTAATTTGTAACAAAACTTTATTTACGAAAACCTTAAATTTACGATATTATTCGAGATGGAGTTCAACGATGGTCGCTTCATGGTTGGTGATATACGAGGGAGGATCGGTACACGGTGTAGATTCATTGCAGTGAAACTGAAAGAAAATTAGCGGCTGAATTGATGGTTGAATCGGTTGGACGATGATAGTCAGAAAACAATTTTTTGGTTAATTACAGTGTTTATACTCGTGTTACGGTTATTTGTCTATCAGTTAGCTACAACAAAGCCAAACAAATCGAGTGCAATATAATCGGTAATACTGCATGCAGTCAAGAAGAATAGGGGAGTTCTTTATTTCGATTAACCGGCAATTCTATACGAAATCATATCTACAGGAGGTCATGAAGAATTTGCAAGCTCTTAATCTCGACTAAAATATCAATGTTCTACAATTGGGTTGGGAAGAATTTGGAAACTCTTGATCTCGACTAAAATATCAATGTTTAACAATTGGGTAAACATATAAA